TTGAAGCCCCATAGCATGTCTCACTGGACTGGACCTCAAGGAGCCCAGGCTAGCTGACCAGAGAGCCCCAAGGATCCATTTGTCTCTACTTCCATGATACTGGGATTTTTTTTCTTTTTTAATTTATTTTTTTATTAATTACAATTTATTCACTTTGTATCCCAGCTGTAACCACCTCCCTCATCTCCTCCCATGCCCCTGTCCAAGTCCACTGATAGTGGAGGTCCTCCTCCTCCTCCCTCTGACCTAGTCTATCAGGTCTCATCAGGACTGGCTGCATTGTCTTTCTTTGTGGCCTGGTAAGGCTGCGCCCCCTATCAGGGGAAGGTGATCAAAGAGCCTGCCACTGAGTTCATGTCAGAGACCGTCCCTGTTCCCATTACTACGGAACCCATTTGGACACTGAGCTGCCATGGGCTACATCTGTGTAAGGGTTCTAGGTTATCTCTATGCATGGTCCTTTGTTAGAGTATCAGTCTCAGAAAACACCCCTGTGCCCAGATTTTTTTGGTTCTACTGTTCTCCTTGTGGAGCAGTCCCCTCCAGGTCTTTCTATCTCCCCCTTCTTTCATAAGCTTCCCTGCACTCTGCCCAAAGTTTGGCTATGAGTCTCAGCATTTGCTTCAATACCCTGCTGGTTAAAGTCTTTCAGATGCCCTCTGTGGTAGGCTCCTGTCCTATTGACTGCTTTCTCCCTCTTCTGATATCCATCCCATTTGCCTTTCTGAATGAGGATTGATTATCTTACCCAGGGTCCTCCTTCTTGCTTAGCTTCTTTAGGTGTACAGACTTTAGTATGTTTATCCTGTATTATATGTCTGATATCCACAATATGTGTCTTTCTGATTCTAGGATACCTCACTCAGTATGATCTTTTCTAGTTCCCACCATTTGCATGTAAATTGCATGACTTCCTTGTTTTTAATTGCTGAGTAATATTCCATTGTGTAAATGTACCACAATTTCTGTGTCCATTCCTCAGTTGAGGGACATCTGAGTTGTTTCCAGATTCTGGCTATTATGAATAAAGTTGCTACAAACATGTTTGAGCAAATGTCCTAGAGCCATATTCATCACCCTGCACAAAACTAAAGTCCAAGTGGATCAAAGACCTCAGCATAAAACCAGACACACTCAATCTGTTAGAAGAAAAAGTGGGGGAGAGCCTTGAACTCATTGGCACAGGAGACAACTTCCTGAACAGAACACCAACAGCACAGGCTCTAAGATCAACAATCAATAAATGGGAGGGACCTCATGAAAATGAAAAGCTTCTGTAAAGCAAGGGACACTGTCATCAGAATAAAACAACAGCCTACAGATTGGGAAAGAATCTTCACCAACCTTATATCTGACAAAAGGCTAATATCCAGAATATATAAAGAACTTAAGAAGTTAAAAAAGCAACAAATCAAGTAATCCGGTACAAAGCTAAACAAAGAATTCTCAGTAGAGCAATGTCAAATGGCAGAGAAACACTTAAAAAGAAATGTTCAACATCCTTGGTCATCAGGGAAATGCAAATCAAACCGACCCTGAGATTTCACCTTGATATTAGCCATTCATCAGATGGCTAAGATCAAGAATGTGACAATACATGTTGGAGAGGATGTGGAGGAAAGGGAACCCTCCTCCATTGCTGGTGGGAATGTAAACTTGTACACCCACTTTGGAAATCAATCTGGCACTTTCTCAAACAATTAGGAATAGGGCTACCTCAAGATCCAGTTATACCACTCCTAGGCATATATCCAAAAGATGCTCAAATACTAGTGTTTTTTTCTGAATGTGGGTTTGGGGGGTGGAACTCGGATCCTCCTGTCTGTGAGATGAGCACCTTACTGACAGAGCTATCTCCAGGCCCTGAACTATAAAATTCTATAATCAAAGTTTTATATTCCAGAATTTAAAATAACCTTACACTTTCTTTTTCATACTTGGTACTTCTATTGACAATCAAGTTTATCTGGTATTTATTGAGAGGTAGCACAGTTCCGGGAACTATTTTTAAAGCGGGGATACGAAGTTTTTCTTATCATTGTGATTTCTTTGTATTTGTAGGGAATCTGTGTTTTGTCTCTGGAAAAGAACCTCTGTGGGTTGTTCATGTTTATGTTGCTACATTCAGCTACACTATGTGGTGTCTTTTTAAACATATTGTGTTTGTTAGAATACTGTATTTTTAATTTCTTTGTCTAATAATATAACCACATTCTTAGTATGTATCCCCCACAAAATAATCTCTAGGACTATTCTCCTCTTCCTCTTCCTCTTCCTCCCCTCCCCCTCCCCCTCCTCCTCTTCTTCTTCTTCAACAGTCTTACCATGTAGCTCTGTCTGGCCTGGATTTTAGAGGGATCCACCTGCCTCTGCTTCTGCTTCTCTGCCTCTCTGCCTCTGCCCTCTGCCCTCTGGCTTCTGGCCTCTGGCTTCTGGCCTCTGCCTCCTCAGAAAACTCTCCTTGCAGGTCCTGGATCAGGTTTCCAGGCCCCATGTGTGCCTCTGAAGTCTGGAAACAAACTAGCGGATGGTCTTCAGACAGAGGTGCAGTTAAGCTGGTAGGCAGGTGCAAAGTAAATTCTAGCCTCCGGGGGAGTAAAGGTGATGGTTGTACTTAATTTTGGAATGTGATCTCTGCCCAGAAGGGGGACCACCTGTGACTACTACAAATACTGTTAATTGTTTGTGGCCCCAGGCTGTTCTTTCAGGTGGGAGTCCTTAACTGTGCCCTGTAGCTCCCTAAATTAGCTTCTTTTTATGATCTCTGCCCAGAAGGGGGAAGGGACCACCTGTGACCACTACAAAGAATTGTCCATTGCTTGTGGCCCCAGGCTGTTCTCTCTCAGGTGGGAGGTGGGAGTCCTTAACTGTGCCCCGGTGGCTCCCTAAACTAGCTCCTTTTTATTTGTAAATGGCCCCATCGGGGTTTGTTTTTTTTTTTTTTTTTTTTAAACAGAAACCTCTGCTCCAGTGTCTCCTAAGAACTTAACTGGGCAGCCTCCTGGTGCTGTGGCCAGGGGCTCTTGGAGGAAGCATAAGAAAGCAGAGCCCCAGCTCCTTCGTTCTGATTTGCTGTGCTGCTTTCTTGTGGTCAAGAGAGTCAATGCTTTCTTGGGCTTGGGACAGCTTGGACATTCGCTCCTCCAGTATCCCTTCTTACTAGAAGCAGATGGATCCCTGTCCAGGGCAGGCTTTCCCCTTCTCCCCAATTTTTGTTTGGGGAGACCTCTTCTCTGCGTGTGAGCAGTTTGGGGGTCAGGAGGAGCTGGAATGCAGCCATCATTTGTTTCTGTGTGTGAGTTGATCAGTGGCCAAGGCAGCTTATTTTTGTTTCTCAGTATCTCAGCTATTGAAAATCCTTAGGGCCACCTCTATAAGCTGGGAGGTATTCATTCCAGCTAGACCTGCTAGCTTTTGTGGCTTTCTGCACCTATCGGGAGCAGACTGAGTTACAAAGGCCAAATTTAATTGCCCTAGTGTTGTCTGGAGCTAGTGGGTCAAAAGGCATGGAAATGTGGAAGCATTCCTGTAATATCAGGAGATTCCTCCACTCCCTGGAGAACCCCAATGATCTTAGACAAATCGGTGCGTTTTCAAGCTGAACCCCAAATCCCAAACATAAGGTAGCAGTGAAAAGGACCCAAGTCCTGAGAACCGGTGGACATATTGGGGTCCCAATCAGGGCATTTGGATGGAAAGGTCTCTTCAACATTGCGCAGCCACTCTGCTTCCATCTGTCTGTACCAGCAGCCAAGGACAAAAAGGCCTTCTTTGCCTCAGCCCCAATGTGTTCCCTTGTTGGAGTTCCACTAAAGTAAACAGAGTAATAAGGAGTTGCTGACAATCATCCCAGGTGAGGCAGTGAGAACAGAGGACGAGATAAGTCGGGGTTGGGAGGTTTTTCAGAGAAAGGGAGTTGGGGCAGTCATACGGATCTGAAGTAAAGAAGGAGACAGATGAACAAAGGCCATTGCCTCCCTCTGAGTCGGGGGGGGGGGGCTTCTCCCAATGGAAAGGCAGAGGCTGGGTCTAATGAGTGTGGACCCCAAGCAGGAGGTCAATGGGGGTGAAGGAAGTGGAGGAAAAGAGATGCCAAGGGATCTTGATGGCCAGTGAGGGATGAGCGGTGGAGGAGACAGGGAATGTGGGAGCAAAGACAGACGTGAGGAGTGAGGAGCTGGGTAAAGAGCATAGTAGCAAAAGAAATGGACAAACTGGAGAGTTAAATATAATGGGATCCGTCGATTGGATGTTGAGAATCAGACCTTGAATAGATTCTACGTCTGACATGCAGATTGGCAGTAAATGCACACGCTGAGGCGGGGCTGTTCACACACTGTGAGTGTAAAGCGGACAGGCTAGCTCCACAATAAGAGCGACTTAACCACAGCCCTTGGAGAGTCCAATATTTTTGGAAAATGTTGAACTTTCCTTTTTCCCGTTGCACAGAACTTACTGCTAAAGTGCATGGGAACTGGCTCTGTGTTCCCAGCTCCTGCTCACCTGAGTTTTGAGGATTACGAACAGTCTCTGGATACAAGGCCATTACTGAGTACGCTGCCAGGATCCTGATATAAAAAATGCAGCTTTCATTGAGTTTGAAGGATAAATCTGAGGAGGGCAAAACTATAGCTAAAAGCCACATACTTATGCCTACAGTAAAGAAATTTGGGCTGAAGCCGCATATAGACAACTGTGCCGACGAGGCCACAGACAGAGTCGCGGAGTCCGCGCCGCCCCACGTCCCACCTAAACTGTGGGATCTAACCACGGATGCTGCACCCCTTCCTCTCGCGAGAGGGAAGGATTCGGCTGTGCCCTGAGCCACTCGTGATCCCAACCTGCCAAGAAACAGGGAGGTCTGGCAGCGCGCAGGAGCTTCTGGGAGTCGTAGTTCCTGGCCTTGCCAGCGCCCCCTACCGCCCCCTCCGCAGAATGTCACGCATGCGCGACTCGGGCTAACCCTAGAAGTTCGTAGCCTTTGTCAGGCCAGGGATGAGAGGCGAGTTGCTCGGTGGGATGCCACAGTCGTCCGTCTACCTCGGCGGTGATCCAGTGGTCCTTCCGCGGCAAGCGGGACCGGAGTTCGTCGTTCTTGAGCTTCAGCCCCTCTCAGCATCACGCGCCGGCCCGAATCGCTCCGCGGGACTCGGGTGCAGACAAGATTGGAGCGCGAGTAGCGGTTGTCTGTGCCCTGTGCCGTCTCTCAGAGGCTCGGTCCCCTAGGGACAGCTCCAGGCGCAAGGGATAGGCAGGTGAGGATCCAGATTCAGGATGCTGTCCCTGGTCTCCGGGTCCCACGTGATCTGAGCAACGCATGCCCAAGAGGAGAGAAGCCCTTCGAGGCTCCTTGGCCGTCTGACTGCTAGAAGCAGAGAAGAGCGGGAGCTTGGGGACTTGGAAGAGGTGGTGACCATGGAGACGGAGTTGGCCGAAGCGCCCCAGAGAAGAGGTAGACTTGCTCACGGGTTGGTGTACATCGTGGAAGAGTGGCGTTCTTCCCTTTGAAGGGAAAACCCACCCACCGTGGCCTTGGGTTAGGTGCTTCTTGGGGAAGGACCGCGGCTTGCCAACGCTGTCTTGAGGAGAGGCAGGCTCCGAGAAGTTGCGGGGCCTCCAGTGGGGGGGGTCAGTCCCCATTCCACTTAAGTGTGATACACAGTGGAACACACACACCCAGGGAGGACATTGTCACAATTTAGTCACAACTTCTTCCGGATTATTGCCCCACACTGGTTTCCATCGTGGACACAAGAGTTCAGCTTTGTAGCTGACAAAAATATTTGTCCACGCGTCATCCCGATTTCTCCACAGTTAGCGTGCTGTTTCAATTCAGGTCGCCCACAACCTGTGTTTTTTTAACGGGCACGGAAGTTAGGGCTCGCGTCAGACCACAAGACCAGCGTTATCTTGAACTTTGTTCTGTGGCCTCCTATACCCGAATTGCCTCCACGAGTGCTGGTCAGATGTCTAGATGTCACCTCAAACTCAACTAGTCATAATTTCGAGGTGAGATCTAGCAATCTACATCTTGAGTAAGCTTTAAGAGGAAGTTGTTTTGTTTTGTTTTGTTTTGTTTTGTTTTTTAAACCACTGAGCCTGCTTTGGGTAGATTATGATGGGAATTTATTTGTTCTGGTTTGTAGAGCGTCGAGTTCTCTTTCCTGGGAGGCAGTACAAGTCAAGCAACTGCATCTAAGCCCAGGGCTGCTTACTAAACAGGGTGGGCATCTCCCACAGTCCTGGAAAGCGGCGCTTTGCTTTCCCTGCAGCCCTTGTTGACAGGGAGCGCATTTGGTGCGACGTTTGGTCGGGTTTGGATTATAGTCTGAGGAGCAGCGTGGGTCTAGGTCCTGTCACTACTGCGTTCTTGTCCTTAGCTCCGTCTCGGGAGTCCCTCCTTTCCCAAGAGAAGAGTGCAGAAGGAGAGGCCGGGCCTCTGAGACTCGCAGCCAGATCCCAGGTGAGTCTCCTTGGGTAAGTAAGATCCCTTTTTTAGGTGGGGTTTCTTTGTCCGCAGAGCCCATCTACAGACCTGAGTTCTAATTCTAAGACACTGATAGACTCAGAAGGAAATATTTTCTACTTACCCATAGTACCTCTGTTCCCCAGCTAGTGTTTATTGTCTCTCTAAAGGCAGGCAAGCCACATTTTTCTTCTTTCCCCTATGATGCTAATTTATGTATTTGGTAATATAGGAAGCTATTTTAAGGGTAAGATAGCACGTCCTTCTTGAAACTAGAATTTCTCTAAGAGAGGCAGCACACGCTTGACTGTAAGTAGGAACTTAAGAAAACACCTTAAATATGGAAGTGATTAGAATGATAACACATATGCAGTTAAAACTGATCCTGGAGAAGGAAAGCCTATGAAGGCTTTAAAACTCAGGGCTAGGAACCAGTCCTTCCTAGGGATGAATTTGAGGTGTTGGGTCCGCAGTTTCCTCTCACTTGGAAGTATTAGGTCTACAGTTTGCTATTATTACTTCTTGCTCCTCCCACAAAGCAGGTGTGTCGAGGGAGAATTATTGGCTATGGATTGGATGGTGGCTGCACAAAATTACTGTCTTCATGCTGCGTTCTCAGCCCAAAGAGTGTCAGTCAGCCTCTTCTACATGCAGTGCTGGGAAAAATAGCAGTTTTTCTCAGCTGCCCTGTGAGTCTTGTGGGCTTTATTCTTAAGCTGGCTTGTGCAAATAGATGTCTTCACTGACCGCCCTACCTGAAGATGCAGGTTTGGCTAGGTTAGATAAAGGACTTAGGCAGTAACGTGAAGAACCAGACTTGTCCATTTTGTTCACCTTTTTCCACAGCTGAGTTTTGCTCTCAAGCGGGCTTTTCCTTTAGCACCGTCGTCAAGCAAATGGAGGTTTACATCTTCAAGGCTGAAGGTTCGCTGTTCTCCTAGGGCTGGGATTGATTCCAGCTGTGCAGAAAAGGCTTTTTTTCTACACTGCTATCGGTGTCAGCCAAAAGTAATTGTTTGTGAAGTGTAGCTGCACACACATACATAGACACATTCTACCCGCGACCCCAGGACAGAATCAGTTCTACGTGATCTCCACAGGCTTGAGTGACCCAGACAGAAGCACAAAAGGAGAGCTAATAGTCGATGCATGGCCATAGATAGATACTAGATTGAAGACTCTTGTGTTGTCATGGTGGATTGGATCTTTTATGGATATTTTTTAAGTCTGTCCTTTTCAGTTTTATTAGATTTTATTTAACGCTAATACTAGAACTTTTGTATACAATCCATCGGAGTTGATTAGGTTTCTTAATGTTTTTTTTCTTACTAGGTTTAGAAAAATATTAATTTTCATTTTTATTGATTTAATAAGCAGCACAGAATATAAAAAATATATAGGTATGAAAACTTCACCCCAAATATGCCCCTTATCTCTTTCTACGGAGGATCACTGTCTGGAATATTTTTCTGTGTTTTGCTGATTTTATAATACTGAATCCAGATATGTGGTGCACTGTATTTCCTTCGATTTCTCTCCCTATCTTCAACCTTGGGGTATTTGGGTTAACCTATTCTGTAAATAGGTTTTTAAAATATTTTTTTTAAGAAACAGTGCTTCTTCACAGTTAGTATGCAGTTAAAACGTCTCTTGTCACATAATTCTATTCCCTGTGCTTTCTCTTTCCTATTGAGTTTTTCCTGCCTTGCCTACAACCACCATTTTCGTTTTTGCTGTTCTGTTTTATTGGTGGGCTTTCTTGATTGATGAGCAGTTATCATCAATGAACACACCACTGTGGTGTGTTCACTGAGCTCTGTGTATCTAGATTCTGGGTTCCAGGCCATATATATATATATATATATATATATATATATATATATATATATGATATAAAATATATATGATATAAAATATATATAAGACATATGTACACACATATATTATTTATTTATTATATATATAAGACATATATATACACATATGTATATATATATATATATATATGTCTTATCTCTTTATTGACTGCTTGGGAGGTAGGAGAGTACAGTGCCTGTTATTTCATTTTCAAAGATGATAATTTTATTTCTAAATTCTCAAATTGTTTTTGGAAACTTTACTTTGAGAAAAACTCAGACATGGGAAATGTTACAAAAAACACGGAGATCTCTTCTCTCCATTTCACCCGACCTCCGGAAGTTAACATTTTTTTCATCGCATTAATCTCATTTCTAGAATTGGGACAGTAATGTTGACACAATACAGTGACCTTTGGCTTTTCCCAGCTGCCTTATTTTTCTGGATATAACGTTTCTGCTTTTGTCCTGTAATTCTTTATGAGTTTGTTCTTATTCTTTGATATGATTTGTATGTTCTTCTCTTATATTTATGTTACTTCTAAAATACAGTAAAAGTTTAAAAATCTAAGAAATTTCAAGATTGCTGTGCATCTCCAACGCTTTTAGCTATTTAGTATCAGGCTTTGCATTTTGCCTCTTTATTTTTATTTTCTAATATAGTTTTGCAGTTCTCGCCAGCCATAGCTTTAGACTATTTCTACTTGGGAATTCACTAAAATCGACTTTGTTGGTTTTTGCAAAAACTTCATAAATGTTTAAGTAGAAGGTGATTTTTGTTCAATTAAGTATTTCTTACATGTTTGCTTCAATAAACTTGAAATATTATGCCCATTCCCTATGACTTTACTTAAAGGGGGTGTGGTCTGTATCAGTATGTAGCCATCTCCTTTTATTTATTTTTTTGTTCTTTTTTAATAAAGATATAACCTAATGGCATTTTCTTCATGTGCACCTTTGAGTTACATCTGTAAACTTGATCAGTTTTTCATATTTTCTAATTTAATTGCCCTTTACCTTGAATTAATTCCACATTTTGCTGGATTTGCTGTTCACTGTCAGATTTTTCATTCTGTGACCTCTCTGTTTGCAACCTCTGTATTCTTCTTCTGAAGACTGAGTCATGATTTTTTTGTTCATTAAAAACTTATAGAAGTATGCAGACATTCTTCTTTTTCTCACCACCTATATCTTAATTTTTTTTTTTTTTTTTTACAGAAAAATGATAGTTTCCCAGTGGTACAAACTAGGTCTTATTTCATGTTGAGTCTTAAAGTGTGCCTGGTACTCAGTGAAAGCACACAGACCATTTGAGATCAGACACTATTAGCAAACCCACCACTTCCCTTGTTGGGAGTATCTTGGCCTCATGCTTTACTTCCTTAGGAAGAGAATGAAAGGAAGGGGTGTTCTATTAATCAGGGTTCTCTGGAAGAACAGAACTGATAGAAGGAATATGCATGAAGGAGATTTATTAGTGTGGCTTAGAGACTGTGATCCAGTTAGTTCAACAGAAAGGCTCAGAATCCAGCCGTTAGTTGTTCAGTCCATGAGGCTGGAGTAGTGGTCTAAACAGCTGGTCTTCAGTATGTGTCAGGATCTCAAAGAAACAGGCTCTGATACTGGTGAAAGAATGCCTTGGCAGCGGGATGTATAGCCTGCCAGTGAGAATGAGGACAAGTGGGCAAAAAGCAAAAGATTCTATTTCCTGAGTCTTTTATTTCCAATTTAGGGTGTGTCTACAAACCTGACAAGATAAGGATTTAAGGTGGGGCTTCCTACCTCAAAAGATCCAATTAAAATAAAAAAAAAAAAAAACCCTCACAGGCGTCCCCAGGTGGTTTATAGTTAATTTCAGATGTAGTCCAGTTGACCACCAAGGATAGGTACCACAGGTAGCAACTGGAAGGTGATGAAAAGGTGTGTTTGTGTCTTAGGAGACCGTGACATTCAAAGATGTGGCCATGGACTTCACAGCGGAGGAGTGGGGGAAGCTGGATCCTGCGCACAGGGCTGTGATGCTGGAGAACTACAGGAGCCTGGTCTCACTCTGTAAGAACAGCTTCTCCCTGTGATCTGAAATCCACGCATAGGGCTGTCGCTACATCACTGAGAATGAGGTGCAGGAGCAAGCCTTCCCTTCTCATTCAGGAGCCATGAACTAGTTCTTTTCCGCACAGAGGAAGGAGGGTTTCATTTTGCTGGGTGCTGAGGGCTGAATCTGAGTCCTGTGTTGCCTGAGCATGCACAGTGCCACCAAGCTGTGTCCCCAAAATGACAACCTGATACACACTACCATCAAGGGGGGAGATTAGGGAGGCAAAGGTGTCATTGGACTTTATCGCTTGTTTGTTTACAGTCTGTGGGCTTGTCTTCGGCCGTCTGAACTAGTAACTTGGGATGCCGAGATGGCCATCAGCAGTTCTGCACTTACATTAGCCTTGCAATTAGAGAGCCGAGCAAAGAGAGGAGATGCTTTCAGTTTGGAAATTCAATAGACATATCTCCATCAGAGATATGACCAGGGCAGAGAGAGGGAGTGCTTGGGGCCCGTATTGGAGCCTGTGTGCATCCTTCTGTTCAGGTGTGTGTGCCCGAGAGAGTGCGTGCATGCGCCACTCGCCTTCCTCCTTCACCCAGATGGCCTGGCCACATCCTTTCTTCTTTGTAGATGAAGGACATGGACCTAAACTCCAGTAGAGATCTTTGTACCCACCATGAATACATTCATTTTACTTCTTCATTTCCTCTTCTTTTTAATGAACAGGGCTTCCCATTTCCAAACCTGATGCCTATGATGTTGGTGATGGAAAGGAACTACTGAAGCTTTCGAAAAAATCTCCCAAACGTACTTCCTCAGGTAGGTGGGATTGATGGGGGCTTCAGACATACCCAGAAGAGTGAACAAGGAACACTTCTCAGATCTTAAAAGAGAATTTTTAGAAATGCCTGTGTGCCTTTGATTTTCAAAATATTTTAAATGTTGAAGCTTTTAAATATATGCCAAAATAAAATACTACAACAGTAATCAAAATTAGATATTTTATTTCACTCTCCACTCCTTTCCTTTTTTTTTTTTTTTTTTTTTTTTTTTTTTTTACTAAACACTCTTCTCCTTTTTTTTTTTTTTTTTTTTTTTTTGCAACAGTAAAAACCATGAAAGCCTTATAATGTTTCTATGGATATTTAACAAGGTGAACATGTTCAGGTAACTGCTGCCTAGATGAAGAGAGCACTAGTCTCCTGAGAAGCAGTGCGGTGGTCGGTCGCCTCTCTCCCATGAGTAACCTTGTCTTGATGGTTAACAGCATAGTTTTATAAGGTAACAGCCTTATTTAAGTGGTGAGCCCTATTTAAGTGGACTTGCTGTATATTCTTTGAGTCTGGCTTCCTGCTTGGAGCTTTCACAGTGAGACGCATTCCTATCGTAGCGGACTGCTGAAATTAGTTCATTATCAGTGCTGTGTGGCCTCTCGTTATTTCATATCCCAGTTTACTCATTCTCCTACAGACAGGCATTGGGAAAGTGGGAGCTTCAGGTTGTTCTAACACTACTCCTGTGTACAGTCTTTCATGTGTCTTTTGATGAACACATATATGTGGGGTGTGTGTGTGTGTGTGTGTGTGTGTGTGTGTGTGTGTGTGTGTGTGTAAAATGTAGATATTGCCAAAGGTGTTTACAAAATATTTCCAATTACACTTCCACTGGGAGAAGTTGCAGCTTACAGTTTTTCCACATGCTTATCAACACTTAATATCATCTGTTTTTATTTTAGCCGTTCCTCTGAGTGTGTGATATCTTCTACTTCTTAAGAAATGAAAATTTAGAGATTCAGATAAAGCCCTCTCATTCTTTCACTCTGTAGAAGTAACCAGTTTGTCTTAGTGTTGGAGTGACTCATTCTCACATTTGTGTGAACAGGTATATGTATGCACAGGCGTATGTGCATGAAACTGTGTACCTTACTGTGACAGTTTTCTTCTGTAATCTATTTTAAGCTCCACTGTTTGATTTTGTTATCAGTCTGTATTAATATGTAGCAAATTGTACATTTTTCTTTTAGACAGTAAGGAATGTGGAGTAAGTGCCGTGTGTGAATAAACTGGATGGTTTGTTTTTACTTTTTGGCCATTAGCAGAGTTGCATGACGGTCTTTTATTACTCATGTTCCTCTTGAGAACTGACCTTAAAGCTGGCTGGAAAAGATATATGGGTCTTAAAATGTCACATACTTTGCCGCACACCTTCAATCCCAGCACTTGGGAGGCAGAGGCAGGTGGATCTCTGTGAGTTCAAGGCCAGCCTGGTCTACAGAGTGAGTCCAGGACAGCCAGGAATACACAAAGAAATCCTGTCTTGAAACCCTCCCCGCACAAAAAAAAAAAAAAAAAAAGGGTGTCACACACAATGTTAACAGATTTGTTAAGGGCCTTCCCCATCTTGGCCACCAGCTGACCTAGTGGCTCTGTCCATCTTGTTTCCACTTCACGTTTCTAATTGCATTTCTCTGAGTGCTAAGTGGGAAGTGTGTGAGCATTTGTGACTATTGTCTACTCAAGTATTTTTGATTTGTTGTAGCTCTTTGCATATTTTAGATTCTAATATATGAGAGTGGTGGTGTGGCAAAATAAGGAGGAACTGATTCTTCCAGTTTGGGGCATATTTAATCCTCCCCATATTTAGTTTATTAAACTTTAAAATTTTAAGGTCAGATTTGCTGATTTCTGTTTTTTAGTCCTGGGGTTGGAACCCAAAGCCTTGTACAGGCTAGACAAGCACTCTATCCTTGAGTTACATGCCTCTCTCTTACTCATTCTCTTAAGGGCTGGAGAGATGGTTCCAAAGTTAACTGATCTTGTTGAAGACCTGAGTTTGATTCCCAGCACCCATGTCAGGCAGCTGACGACTGCCTGTGGCTCCAGCTTCAGGGGACCCAATGCCTCTGGCCACTGTGGGCATCTGGCTCACACACACACATACCCACACAAACACACAATTAAAATAAGTCTTTAAAGAACATTTATTTTTACTCTCCGTGTGTGAGTGTGGGCCTGGTGAGAGGGCAGGACCCTGTAGTACTGAGCCTCCCTGTGGGTGCTGGGAGCTGAACCTGGGCCCTCTACCATAGCAGCAAATGCCCTCAAGCACTGAGCCATCCCCCCAGCCCCAGCCCTTACTAATTTAAGTTTACTTTTTGTGGATTGTTTTGCCCTACCAGTGTCAGGAAGATAATCTGAATCTGTTACAATATAAGCAAGTTTTGTTGCACTGATATTTCTTTCTGTAAATGATATGAAATGGGATCTTTTTCATGCTTACAGCCTCATTTATTGAGTAATCTTTTGTCACTGATTTGTAATGCTGCCTTTGCATAACTGTTACACATGTCTGAATTTCTTTCTAGGCACATTTGCCTATGTTTAAGTAGAATACTATTTTAATTAATTACCATGCTAAATAATACTTATAATAACATAATATTATACTACATATTAGTAAATATATATGCTTAGCTATACGTATCTCTGTATGTCATTTCCTGGATATTTACTATAGCAGAAGATATTCTATAAAATGTGGTTTTTTTCCTGTCCAGATCTAATGGACTCATTGCCTGCTTCTCCACTGACACATTTTTTTCCATCTTTTTCCCATCTTCTGTTATATTTCTTGATTATCTTTCCCCCATCTGATTCTCCTAGATATAGTCATTTCATTTTCATATTTATTTCCTTCAGTTTCCTACTTTTTGCAAACTATCTAATAAGAGTATCAGATCTACTAATTCCACAAAGGCATGCTTTCATCTTCATTAATTCTCACCTGTTATAGAACTGTGTTTTTGTTAAGCACAGAAAACAAAGAAAATTTGCATTTACAATGTCTTTCCAGAAGTGGAAACTAGACCTGAGGGCAAAGATGCAACTTCAGAGCAAGACTGTTGGAAAGCAGAATCCTACCAGCTGACTCAAAACACTGGTTCTGACGCCAGCTTAGACACAGCTCCTGAACGAGAGCTTCAGTTAGAGCATCATCGAGGAAATCAGGAGAAGCACGTGAGACAAACGTTCATTCACTTGAACTCCCCGCCTGTGGAAAAGGAAAGTAGGTGTGATATTTATTGGAAAAAGTTCAGTCAGAAGCCACTCCTTATGACTGACGACAGAGTTCCCAAAGGATCCTATCACTTTCATATGCTTGGGAAGAGACTGAAGCAGAAATCAAACATGATGAAAAAGCAGAGACCTTATAAAGAGAAGAAGCCTCATAAGTGTGATGAGTGTGGCGAACTCTTCAGTTACCGGTCAGTGCTCACCCGGCACCGGAGAGTGCACACTGGGGAGAAGCCTTACAGCTGCGGGGAGTGCGGGAAGTCCTTTAGCCACAGAGCCAACTTAACCAAACACCAGAGAACTCACACTAGAATCCTCTTTGAGTGTAGTGAATGCAAGAAAACCTTCATAGAAAGTTCATCTCTTGCAGTACACCAGAGAATTCACATTGGAGAGAGACCTTACGAGTGCAGCGAGTGCGGGAAAGGTTTTAACCGGACCACACATCTTGCACAGCATCAGCTGATTCATACTGGAGTGAAGCCTTATGAGTGTAGTGAATGCGATAAGGCTTTCATTCACTCATCAGCCCTCATCAAACACCAGAGAACCCATACTGGAGAGAAGCCCTATAAGTGTCAGGAGTGTGGGAAAGCCTTTAGCCATTGCTCGTCTCTTACTAAGCACCAGAGGGTGCACACTGGAGAGAAGCCCTATGAGTGTAGCGAGTGTGGGAAGACCTTCAGTCAGAGCACACACCTTGTTCAGCACCAGAGAATCCACACGGGTGAGAAGCCCTATGAATGTCATGAATGTGGGAAAACATTTAGCCGGAGCTCAAATTTCGCTAAACATCAAAGAATTCACATCGGAAAGAAACCCTATAAATGTGGTGAATGTGGCAAGGCCTTTATTCATTCATCAGCTCTTATTCAACACCAGAGGACTCATACTGGAGAGAAACCGTTTCGATGTAATGAATGTGGGAAGAGCTTCAAGTGCAGCTCATCCCTCACCCGACATCAAAGAATTCACACTGAAGAGCAGGCCTGAAAATGTGCTGAGTTTTGGGAAGTGTAAGTTGGTTTTATCAGTGTTTGATATTTGAATGTTTAAAGAGAATGTCCACAGTGTGACCGTAGGGGCGTCTGTATGTGTATATGATCTCACTAGTCCAGTGTATAGCCAAGGTCCTTTTTCCTCACCTCTGGCATTCATTGAGCCCTTGGTTTTTTATAATCATATCATCAAGGAGAGTTTGTTCTGCTAAATTCTGTGAACTATGCGCTGTGGCTTTTAGAAAACTCTCTAGGGGGATTGCAATTTGAGTATATCCAAAAAGCTTATAGGAGTCAATGAACCGTTTTATTTAGGGTCTCAGTCAAGAGGAAAGCTTAAACAACTGTGAGGTGCCATGGTATCCTTTCCTGTAGGAAAAACTCACAGGACAGCCCTGAGGTGACTTACCTAAAGACAAACATCTTTCTTTTTCCCACTTATCTGGCTTTCATGTTTACTCACATTATTTTATTATTATCTTCCATATATTAGGTGGTCCTTGTCCCTGAGCTCTCATTTATTTATTTATTTATTTATTCATTCATTTATTTATTTATTTATTTATTTATTTATTTATTTATTTATTTATTTAGCTTTTGTATGCAAGGGTGTTTTGCTTGCATATTTATCTGTGTGAGGGTGTCAGATCCCCTGGAACTGGAGTTACAGTTGTGAGCTGCCATGTTGGTCCTGGGAATTGCACCCAGTTCCTCTGGAGGGGCAGCCAGTGAGTGCTTTTAACCGCTGAGCCATCTCCCCACCCCCTATCCCTGATCTCTTAAGTAAACATGCCACGAAATCATAGTGATCTATTAGTGTAACTGTTGGAAGTGACCAAAAACCATTGAGAGGATGGGAAACACAAAAAAGCTCAATTAAGTATTTAGTAAAACAAAACACAATGTCAGTTTTTTAGTTTTCTGTTCTGTATTAGAAGTCAGATGATAATAAAATTCGAGGAAAAGGTAATCTCGGGTTTTTAGTTTCTTCTTATACCATTCCAGTTTATGCCCTTGACCTCTGTCAAGTTAGACTGTGGGGAGACACCTTGACCATGGCAGCTCTTATAAAGGAAAACATTTAATTGTGTCTGGCGTATAGTCCAGAGGTTTATTCCAATTTCATCATGGTAGGAAGCATGGCAGGAAGATGTGGTGCTGGAGAGGTAGCCGAGATTCTACATCTACATCTACAGGCAGCAGAAAGAAACAGCCTTTAGGCCTCGCTTGAGCTTCTGGAATCTCAAAGCCCAGCCCCCAGTGATGCACTTTCTCCCAGCAAGGCCACACCTACTTCAACAAGCCCATACTTCCAGTAACGCCAGTCCCTGGGAACCTATGGAGGCCAGTTTCATGCAGACCGCACACCCTCCCTCTGCTGTTCATTTCAGTAGACTTTGCAGTTTCTGCCTAAAGCAAGCTGGGGAGCTAGTGTAAAAAAGCAGTGCGGGTGGAAAGCACTGTCTGATGGGTGAATGGAGTATAAATTCAGAAGGGACAGAATCACAGGAAACAAGGGTAAAGGGACTCGGTTTTCATAAAGATATTTTTGGAATGCTCAGAAACTCACTTCAGGTTAAGTTGGGTGGAAAGGCTTAGTTTAGGGTCTGTCTCAGTTAGGGTTTCTATTGCTGCAGTGAAAGACCATGACCAAAAGCAAATTAGGGGGGAAAGAGTTTATTTATGTTATATGGCCACGTTGTAGTCCGTCACTGAAGGAAGTCAGGACAGGAACCCAAACAGCAGGATCCTGGAGTCAGGAGCTGATGCAGAGGCCATGGAGAGGTGCTGCTTACTATCTTGTTTGCCATGGCTTGCTTTCTTACAGACCTTGGGACCACCTGCCAGTGATGGCCCCACCCACAATGGACTGGACTACCTCCCCCACACACACACACACACACGTTAATTACTAGTTCAGAAAATGATCTAATGGAGGCATTTTCTCAAATAAGGTTCCCTGCTTTCAGCTGACTCTAGCTTATGTCAAGTTGACAGAACTTGCCAGTACAGGGTTGAAGTCAGACTAGGAGAAGGACTGGCCCAAGAAAGGTGCTCAACACTCCATTACTTTAACCAATGTAGCATCATTAAGAGAAGGATTTGGCAAAGTCTGGCCACCATCTATTTCTACAAATTCTATTGGAACTCAACTACATCCAGTGTTGACATGGGTAGCTGCTTTTGCGTGCACCATCAGAATTGAGTAGCTGCTCAGAGACTGTGTCTGCTGTAACCCACATCATAAACATGAATACCCTGTAGGCAACAGATCTGTACTTCATGATCCTAGAGAAAATTCAAACTCAGGCTTGAAACTTTGTACTGGAGATCAAGATACCAGAAAGTTTGGGTCTGAGGGGTGGCTGCTTCCTTGTTCACAGGAGGTACCTCATCCTCACAGGCTGAGGGAAGAACCAGAGTGTCTTCTGATGCTTCTACACATGCTCATCCCCTTCAGAAGGATCTGGCATGATCTAATCACCTCCCAAAAGTCCCACTTACTACCATCACCCTGGTGATAAGTTTCAGCACTTGAATTTTGGAAGGACATATTTGATTCAGAGAAGATCATATCCTAAATCTTGTAATACTTGCTGTTTGGCCCTGTGCTAGACCACCCCTGTCAAGGAGTCAGGAATGCAGAAAAAAACCAGTGAGAAGTCAGGTGGAGTAGAAAAAATGTGATGGTGAACTTGCCCTGCACTGGGGAGTGAAGCCATTCTGCATTCCCTCTGGGGCCAGACTGATACGCAGAGTGGACTCCCACTGCAAGTGCCCAGAATCTCAGTGTCCTCTCAATCTAGTTGATTTTAAGGTTACAGGATATTGAGAGCAGTAGAGTGGGGAAACCAGAGAGGAGGCATGAAGCATCGAAGTGTTCTAGCCTCAGATGTTACTCTATATCTCGGAGAGGATGTTCGCAGTTATTAGGACCTTCTCAGTATCCTCAAAGGTTAGGTGAAACAATTCAACTGTAGGCCAAAACCTGACTGATGAAATAAGACCACTGTGAGCTGTTGAAAGATGAGTCTGATTTCTCACATTCCCATTTAGCAAATGTGTGTTCTCAAAACACTGCATTACATAAATAGCAAGACCTGGCACACATTAACTCTATAGACAACCCAACTATCCATGTCCACCCACTTGCTCATATGTGCTCTCAAGAACGTTCATTCTTTCTCTACAAAACTAGTATTTATTGTGTATTTTTAAAAACACATTTTTAATGACGGAGCCATGCATCAGTCGGAGTAAACATCTTAAGTCATTCTGATCACCTTTGGTTTATGGACTCAGCTGAGGCAGTGCTGTTCTCTGGTCCATTATAGCGAGGCTTCAGGATCTCTAGGGTTGCCTCCATTGCTGCCATTCTCACTCTCCTTGAGATGCTGCAGAAACTGCGGTTTCCTTCTGCATAGTATTAAACAGGATCCATTGTATGGTTCCAGAGACTAGAGTTTGCAGCTTAAGTCGCTCCGAGGGGTTGGCTTTAAGTTCGTTTCTCTGGGAACTCTGGCCCTTTGTATTTCAGTGTTTGACCCTTTTATGTCTTGTGTTCAACATAACTACATGTTTGTTTTCCAATATGAATCTTGGAAGTTTTAATTACTTCATTTTGAATGTCCTGATACCTAGAAACTAAATTTGACTGTTCTAATGGCCTATCAATAAAGATGTTGTTTATATATGTATTTTCAGAAGCTTGTGTACAGTGCTTTTAAATTATAAGATGAGTATATTTTTAAATGCAAAGAGGGAGCTTAGCTGTGGTGGTGCACATATTTAATCCCAGCACTCAGGAGGCAGAGGCAGGCAGATCTATGAGTTTGAGGCAGGCCTGGTCTACAGAGTGAGTTCCAGGACAGCCAGGGCTACACAGAGAAACCCTGTCCTACCAAATAGCACTCGATTCCTTGGGCCAGCTACACAACCCCTCACTTAGCATGGACAACAAGGAAAGGAGAGAGGTTTGTCTGGAAACTTTCGCAGAAGTAGACGTTGTATGGTAAAAATTATACAGAGGTTGAGAAAATCGTCAGCTCAGTCTGTAGAAGGCCACACAAACATGAGCAGCTGAAGTCAGTCTCCAGAACTCACAAACATAAAAAGTGCGTCAATATACACCTGTAACCCATGCTGGGAAGATCGAGGCGGGATCCTGGAGTTTCTTGGTCAGCCAGTCTACCCAAATCAGTGAGCTCCATGTTCAGTGAGAGACCCTAGCTCAAAAAAATAAGGTGGAGAATGACTGGGGAAGATGTTGGGCCTTGCTCTCTGGCCTCCACACGTGTGGATATGCGCCCACACATGTACGTACACACACATACACACGTGCACAGACAATTTAGTGTTGTTCTGATTTACATCTAATTTGGGGAAGTCAATATCACCATTTAGAATCTAAAATGTTCTGTTGCATAGAAACACCAAGTGGACAAATTTGGCAGGGAACTTGTTTGGTTAGCAAGCCTTTAATAGTTGCTGTTTTCTTTATGTACATTTTCACTTAAAAACAACAGCAGAAAACCTCAAGGTGGGAACTCTGTTCCAAGTTTTCTTCTTTTATCTTCTGTCTTAGGGCTTTTATTGTTGTGAGAAAACATCATGACCAAGAGCAACATGGGCAGGAAAGGGTTTATTTCAGCTTCCATGTACCAGTGTAGCCTATCATGAAGGGATGTCAGAGCAGGAACTCAAGGAAGGAACCTGGAGACAGGAACTGATGCAGAGGCCTGGCTTGCTTCCTGTGTTTTGCTCAGCCTGTGTTCTTGTACTATTTGGGACCACCCACTCGGGTGGCACCATTCCCTTCGTGGCATGGGCTCAACCTCATTAGCCCACAGGCCAATCTGGTGGAGGCATTTTCTCAGTTGAGGTTCCCTCTATTCCCACTGACACTTGTCTGCCTCAAGTTGACATTAAAGCTAGCCAGCACATCTTCCTTAGTTAATTCTTTTAAGGATACATCTGGATTATTTGGTGCCCAGAGCCATGTGAGCTATCCCTCACCATAAATTTTATTGGCAAGTTGTGGGGAGAGTCTCCTCCCCTGTGGTAATACATATAATGTGCTTATGGGCTTCTGCATAATTTGATTACTGCTGTGAAATAATTATTTTCACTGAATTGTTCTTTATACTTTTTACCACAAAACTGTCTCTATTGTGAGATAATATGCCCTAAGATAATGCTGACTGACCTCCATCCACTTGGGACTCAGC